GCGAACTCTGACGTCAATACCCCCACACTTTCCTGATTGGCTGATGACTAGAAGGCTTCGCTAAAACCGCGGACATAGACACATTTTTTACACCTACGCAGCTTGACTTGCCGAAAATTATTACGGTTGTGCTCATTCCTTCAGTATTATCCCTCTTAACACTTTTGCGTCTTACGTCCTTATTATTTTGGGATAATACTCGCTAGGAGCTTCGTTAGTTAGGCCGGACGTCGAAAATTGACACAACCATCACGACCAAATCCACCACAGGTGATTAAAGTTGAGCAGGTCACGACCCGCACGCCGGCCATCAAGTAATTAGCGTACAAGCGGACAACTATACTCGATAGGGGAAAGTAAGCAATTTTCATAGGCATCCAGCAGCATAGTGACTGCGTCCTATTAATACTGCAACTCCCCGTGTATGCATCACCCGTTTCTGCTATTGTCTCTGATGATGGATCCGCGACGGATTTCGAAACGTCGGACGAATAACATGCCTGTCCCAGGGATCACATCTGCTTCTTTTCAGCGTTTATAGTCTTGCTAAGGCCGTGGCGTATGCATAAAGGGACAGATACGATGCTTTTCGAAAATGCCCTTTTTCGGTCTTTAGAATCTCATAAGCACGAGTCGTTTTAAACCGAAGTCGACCCTTTGTTCGGGTATAGAATTTATAGAAGACGTAATGGACTAAAGAGTACTACAAGAAGAGATAGTTTTTGCATGCTTTGTAGGTGATACGCTTGGATTTATAAAGGCATCAGCATTAAAGAACAATTCGTATCACTTAAGTAGCTATTTTCGATGAATGTTATCTTGGCAGGCATTCTGAGTGAGGTACACTTAAAAGCCGTCACACTGGCGTGTCTGAAATGCCTGTAGATCAACGAATAGTATAATCGCGCCTAACTAATGTTTTCTAATCGGGATCATATTTCAGAAGTTCCAGTAACGTCATTTCATGAGCAGAGCCACCTACTGTATGAAATGCATGAATGTTGAGTTCCTTAAAAATTGAACCGACTAATCAAAGCATCTAGTTATTTTTATAAAAATCATAAAATACGCAAATCTTCGCAGTGGATTTTAACTTCTCAAACCTCCTAAACACTTATAGTTGCTGGCTGAGCCCAAATTTCAAGATCCGAATTTGTGCAAATGTCAGCAAGCACCCTTAAGGTGTCCGGTCGAGTAATACGTTGAGGCTATGCTAGTGCGACCATCGCAAGCGAAGATGTCCATGTTGAGGCTATAGTAGGGGTCTGAATGGCGCGTGGGTGCAGCGGCCGAAGACTTCGAGATTAGTACACACACGAACAGATAAGGGACCTGTAGGCGTTTCAGTCGGTGGGAGCTCTGAACAGGGCCGACAGGCGTCATACCAAGCACACAAATGTGCATGTCGCGATAAAAGATAGGAAGAATATATGGACACTAGTCTACTAGTAACAAACGTATACGTAATGATAAGTAAATAATATATAACAGGGAAAGGGTCCTATCTGGAGTGGGAGGTGTGCTCTCATGTCCGCTGGATTACTGGTGGGCAGCGCAGCGCTGGGGGCAACTGCATGGTGAGAATGGCGACACAGAGCGAGGGGAAACGAAACGACTGCGATGACGGTACGTTATGGAATGGAGAGGCGAGGGTTGTGAGGGGAATCGGGCGCTGGCATCTTCACTGACACTAGGTCACATCGCTCCCATCTTGAGCTCGTGCTAAAGTGCCGACTTCAATGCACTAAAACAACTCAGTCAGCCTCCTGGTCTGTTACATAGGGCGTCGGAGGCAGCATGAAAACGTACCACCCCGTCGATGAATACGAACAGTTCAGAATCCGAAAAGGCGTTAGTTTCAGTAGCAAGAGTAGAGTTGTGCGGACAACCACTGTGCTTTAGTGCTTATGCCTACGCTGGTTTGAAATTCGATAAGAATAAAGATGGTCTACCACCTTAGATACCCCTAGCCCCAGAATTCTGTTTTACAAGACCGGTGGTAGTAGCTTAGGTTAGTTGTTTTAGTTTAATTTTAGTGTAATTTTGTTAGTTTTGGTAAGTTTCGCTTATTTAGTTTAGCATACAGTCGTTACTTACGTATATTTATCAGACTTTGGCGGTATCTCAATCAACGAAAAAATAAACTAATAGGTAAATAGTATTACCGCCAAGACAAGGGAGACTAGAATGGTTATTGTTGGCTTATTAGCCGTCGTCAGCCAGTCATGCCCAGACCCAAGTGGAGCCCCA